TGATTCTAATTCTGATTCTGATATCGATTCTGATTCTAATTCTGATTCTGATTCTGATACCAATTCTGATTCTGATTCTGATACCAATTCTGATTCTAATTCTGATTCTCATTCAACTACTGATTCTGATACCGATTCTGATTCGGATTCTACTTCTGATTCTGATTCTGATTCTGATACCGATTCTGATTCTAATTCTGATTCTGATTCTGATTCTGATTCTAATTCTGATTCTGATTCTAATTCAAATATGTGTACAGTATATATAAATATTTTTTGAGTTTAGACCTTGAATTTCAGAAATCAAAGTCTGTTCTCCCAGAAAAAGAAAGTGATTTTAAAAATATCTGAACACTGAGACTAAAAGCTCTTACACAGGGGAACAAGGCATAGATGTAGAATGATCCAGTGCATTGGATCAAATGCACACACATATATTTTCTAACCCGCTTATCCTTCTGGGTTGCGGGGGTGCTGGAGCCTATCCGAGCACTCACTGAGCAGAAGGCAAGAAACACCCTGGACAGGCCGCCAGTCACACAGACAAATACATTCACACCTAGGGGCAATTAGGCATCCTGATTGCATATTTTTGGACTGTGGGAGGAGAACCACACAGACACGGCGAGAACTTGCAAACTCCACACAGAAAGGACTCTGGTTCCCCAGCCGGGGAATCAAACCCAGGCCCTTCTTGCTGTAAGGGTTTTGCCTTTTTTGCCTTAATTTACCCAAGTTAGAAAATCAATCTGGTAGAAATCTTATTTTGAAACCGCCCCTCAAAAACAGTAATCATAAATAGAGGTAATTCTAAAAGCTCGTGTGTTCTCTCTGCTAAAATGTTGTACTGGCTCATGAGGCTTCAAGTTGTTGTATCGTGCTCTGAGTAATTATCGTAATTTGCAGACAGTCCCTAATTCAGCACTTCATAGAAATTAATGAGTACTATGAGTTTAAAAATGCATTAGTTTCACACGAAAACTAAGTGGGAGCTGATTGTCTTTAGTTTACACAGATTAACATTTTGCACTCAGTCAGAAAGTACAGAAGAAAGAAATCATACATGCGATCCTGTCAGGTAAAGGTTTTCAAAAATTTGATTTATAGTTAAACCGTAGAATTTTATGGAGCAACAAATGAGAATAAAGAGTTTATGGATGGATCAGATCGGATCAGGATCAAGAAAACACTGCAGATCTCAGTTCTGCTAATAAAATGAAATAAGATTAAAAAAAAAACAATAAAAATGTATAGATTTGCTGAATGAAACGCTATGAACTGCTGCTGTAAGGGTGATTCTTCAGAGTTTTCTCCTCACAGCAGAGCAAATGTTTAGTTATCATAAATGAGCTTCATAAAAGCATCATAAAAGTGTCTTCCTTGGTATGAAGAGCAGTTTTTACCTAAATACCGATTTGACAGTTAATGTGAAGTTATTGCAGACTGACAAAGAGCACATACTCATTCGTATTTAAACAAGATCACTGAGGTCTAAGCTCTTGCTGTCCTCCCCTCCATTAGCAAATGGATATTAATGTTAGGGGCAGGCTGTCTGAGGCGCTGCCCACAGTTGGTCTTCTTTTCCTGGACAGACTGCTTTCCCCTCCCCCTCACTCTCTGGAGCTTCTTACCACACTGAACAAAACAGATGTATTAAATTTACTTAATTCAAACAAAAAGTTCATTCCACAAAAATGAAATGCATCAGCACAATTATTGCCAGTAAGTAAAAAGAAAGATAGAATTGTGTTATATATGTGGAAATATATTTAGATTTGAATGAAGTAAATTTAACACTTCCAAAAACTGCCCCACAGCACCCCAAACATGGCCCAACACACTTCTAAAACTGCCAAAGGACCCCCAAAGCTGCCCCCAAAGCACCCCCAAAGCTGCCCCCCTACATCCCCAAAACTGCCCACCAAACTTAAAATAAAATGCCCCACCACACCCCCAAAAACTGTTCCACTGCACCCCCACAAACAGCCCCACTGAACCCCCCAAAATTGTTCCACATTACACACAAATATGGTCCCACTGCACGTTCCAAATACTGCTCCTCTATGCCCCTAAAATGGCCCAACAACACTCTCCAAAAACTACACCACTTTGCCCTCAAAACTGCCCCACTACACCCCCACAAAACTACACCACTATGCCCCCAAAACTGCCTCACCACACCCCAACAACTGCTCCTCTATGCCCTAAAACTACCCCACCAGACCCAAAAAGTGTTCCATTATGCCCCATAATGTTCTACAACACCCCAAAAACGTGCACCACTATGCTTCCAAAACAGCCCTGCCACACCCCCAAAACTGCTCTAATATATCCCAAAAACTGCCCAGCCACACCCCCTTTCCCAATGCACCCACAGAAACTGGCCTGGTTTCTGGTTCCTGACATCATTTTCACAATGCTAACTGGGGGCTGTTTGCTTTCACTCACTGTTAGCAGTACTGCTAGCATTTCTGACTGAAGCTCTCCTTTAGCATGGAGTCGTGATGAAGGACGTGAGGGTTTCAGTCCTCGGTGGCTTTGGGCTTAATCACGAATGAGGGATCATTCAGCCAATAATCTCCAATCCTATAGAGTCACTGATGCTGAGAGAAAGCCCCCCTCAGAGCGGCCGCCTCAGTCAGACAGGCGCGGAGAGATAGGATCAAGGGCGACCGAGATTGAAACACTGTGCTTTCTCTCTTTCTCTTTCTTTTCTTTCACTCTCCGTCTGCCTTGTCTTTGATTTTGAGGGAAGCGACTGGCTCGGTAGATAGAGGCCAAGCTGTGAATTAGGATCGCTGCATTGATGCATCCTGGGAAGGCGGTGATGTCATTGAAGAAGGGCCGCTTCCAGATTGAGTGAAATGACATTAGAAATGAAATGGACTTCTCAAGAAATGGGAGCTTTGATTTGCATAGTGTGCTGATATTTTCCCTAATTCAAACCTCAAAAGCCGTTTAATATTTTTATTATTGTCATTTTCTGGAGCTGCTCTTGGGTAACAAAGTGTCAACAACACATGGCGAACATCTTATGAATTAAACAACATAGTTTAGCTGTAGTAATCAGATGCTGATGTAAAGTTATGTAGTGTATAGATCAATAGATTTCTGCAGGCATCTCCTGAGTCATTGATCACACACACTGTATACCAGCAGCATTTTCTTTAACGCACTGATATTTCCTCAAAGTACTTTCTTAGACTTGAAAGAGAATAGAGAAAACATCTCATGCCAAATGACTGCATTTTATTCAAACATCTGCTGTGTGGCTTCACGGCACTTGGTGTTTTAAATGTTTTAATGTTGATGTTGACTCAGTGTTGAGGCAGAAAGGACACCTGGGCCTCTCTCATCACTTTTGATTTGTACACTAGAATTTCAATTTATATCTAAGGGAAAAAATGAAATGCAGTCAAGCGTGTGAGCAGAATCTTTGGATACCACTGAGACAGCAGTGTAGGTTGTCAGCATGAATGTGTATGTTTTGGTAGCAAGAATGGTTGTATATCCACTGGTTGGGCTGGCTATAGGTGCACTGATTGGGATGATTATATGTAGACTGACTAAATTTGTTATACATGATTGAGTAGGATATACATGCATTGATTGGGTTGGTTAAATATGCACTGATCAGGTTAATTATATGTGCACTGATTAAAAGCTGGTTATACATGCTTTGATTAGGTTGGCTATCTGTGGAATGATTGGGTTGATTGTATATGTATTGATTAAGTTGGTTATATATGCACTGATTAAATTAGTTATATATGCACTGACTGAGTTGGTTATATATGCACTGATTGGGTTGGTTATATATGCACTGATTGAGTTGGTTATATATTCACTGATTGATTTGGTTATATATGCACTGATTGAGATGGTTATATATGCACTGATTGGGTTGGTTATATATGCACTGATTGGGTTGGTTATATATACACCGATTGAGTTGGTTATATGTGCACTAATTGGGTTGGTTATGTATGCGCTCATTAGGTTGTTATATATGCTCAGATTGGGTTGGTTATATATACACTGATTGAGTTGGTTATATATGTACTGATTGAGTTGTTTATATATGCACTGATTAAGTTAGTTATATATGCACTGACTGAGTTGGTTATATATGCACTGATTGGGTTGGTTATATATGCACCGATTTAATTGGTTATATATTGACTAATTGGGTTGGTTATGTATGCACTCATTAGGTTGTTATATATGCTCAGATTGAGTTGGTTATATATACACTGATTGGGTTAGTTATATATGCACTGATTGAGTTGGTTATATATGCACTGATTGAGTTGGTTATATATACACTGATTGGGTTGTTTATATATGCACTGATTGAGTTGGTTATATATGCACTGATTGAGTTAGTTATATATTCACTGATTGATTTGGTTATATATGCACTGATTGGGTTTGTTATATATGCACTGATTGGGTTGGTTATATATACACTGATTGAGATGGTTATATATGCACTGATTGAGTTGGTTATATATGCACTGATTGAGTTGGTTATATATTAACTGATTGATTTGGTTATATATGCACTGATTGAGATGGTTATATATACACTGATTGAGATGGTTATATATACACTGATTGAGATGGTTATATATGCACTGATTGAGTTGGTTATATATTAACTGATTGATTTGGTTATATATGCACTGATTGAGATGGTTATATATGCACGGATTGGGTTGGTTATATATGCACTGATTGGGTTGGTTATATATGCACTGATTGGGTTGGTTATATATGCACTGATTGAGCTGGTTATATACGCACTGATTGGCTTTGTTATGTATGCATGCTTTGATTAGGTTGGTTATATATAGATCAGTTGGGCTGATTATTTCCACTCACTGAATCTGTGCTCTACTCACTGATTGGGTTGGTTACATGTTTAACTGCTGCTTTTGATTATTTATCTGCTGGTTTTCTTAGTTATTTATTTAATCATTCCTCCTCTTCCTCTGCAGGATCTGTGTAGGCAGCGGATGGCCATCCAGACGTCTGAGCGTGGGTCAGAGGTGTTTCACCCAACACACACCCACACATCCCGCATCAATAGTGTGTCGTCTCAGTTCAGCGATGGGGCGACTCAAAGCCCATCAGCCCGCAGCAGCACGTCATCCTGGAGTGAAGAACCACACAGTAACATGGACATCTCTACTGGACACATGATACTGGTACATACACACATGCAGTAACATGGGTATTTCTACTGGACACATGACACTGGTATACACACACACATGCAGTAACATGGATATTTCTACTGGACACATGACACTGGTATACACACACACATGCAGTAACATGGGTATTTCTACTGGACACATGACACTGGTATACACACACACATGCAGTAACATGGACATCTCTACTGGACACATGATACTGGTACATACACACATGCAGTAACATGGGTATTTCTACTGGACACATGACACTGGTATACACACACACATGCAGTAACATGGATATTTCTACTGGACACATGACACTGGTATACACACACACATGCAGTAACATGGGTATTTCTACTGGACACATGACACTGGTATACACACACACATGCAGTAACATGGGTATTTCTACTGGACACATGACACTGGTATACACACACACATGCAGTAACATGGGTATTTCTACTGGACACATGACACTGGTATACACACACACATGCAGTAGCATGGACATCTCTACTGGACGCATGATAGTATATACCAGGGCTGCACCGTATGGGCAGAACACTAATGTTGTGATTAAATTGCTACATATTGCGACTGATGAATCAAAAACCGCAGGGAAACCATGACTGTTAGAGTTGGGCATTCAGTTCGGGCCATTAATGTCAATACCTGAGGAAAAACTATTCAATACTGCTAATTTCTGCTAGCTCCCCTATGGAATTTTTTATAATATGTTAGCATTTAGCTAACACTTGGTATGACCACATGAACAAGTTTGCATGACCCTAATAAAGACTGGGTGGCTCTAGATCTAGTGGTCTAGATACACTAAGGAAGCAAAATTTGGGCATGAGACATGTCTTTGATTACATCTGGGAAAAGTGGGAAATGTTTTCAGATCTGAAGCAGCTTGATTTTCTCCTCTCTCTCAAAGATGAAAGTGCTGTTTATCTGATGGGGGCAGTTTTGGTGTCTACCAGGTCTTCCAGGTGGTTGTTAGGTGTCACATTTTCTCTGTAGCTTTTAATCAGTTTTTGAACTGCAGTTTTGGAAACCTTTGTTTTTTCCACTTAGTTTCCTTTGGATTTCTTCTTTCTTATGCAAGCGGATTATCCTGAAAGTTCTGAGATATCTTCTGAAAAAATGAATAACTCGAACTTAATGGCTGCTTTGACTGGAAATCCAGTAAATTAAGGGTGGTCTCTGACTTTTGCATAGTACTGAAAATGGTGTAGTATATGGCAGTAGTGCTCTGTGTTTTGGTTTTCATCTCGAAAAAGGCTGCAGGGCTGAACACACACACACACACACACACACACAAACACAATGTATCACTTTAATTGCGCCCCCAACTTTTGTTTTATTCATCTGTGTGCAGCAGCAGTGTGTTTGTGACTGATAGGTGCCTGCTAGCGCTGTGTTCATTAGCCTGGGAGAATCCATCATCCATCCACACTCAGTCTGACTGCGCTGGCTGTAATGGATGGCTGTGATTGAGCTCATTGAAGGCTATTTCAGAACCTATTAAAGCCGTGCGCATTGTTCAGAAAATGCATCAGTGCAAACATCACACACTCTGGAGAACTCCTGGTACAGAGAGGCGTCCGGAAATTAGCACTCTGTTAATTTTCATTGACCTGTTCAGGCTCCGCCTACAAACACGTTCAGTCGTGGCTTCCCAGCTGCTGTAGTGAGGTGGGACAAACTTCACAGACTTCAAATTAAAGAGAAACTACAGTGCATTACTTAGTGTCTGTTGCTATGTAGCATTTTCAGTTTCCTGTTTAAAATGCTGCTGAGCTGGACTGAGTTGTTGTGGGTAATCCAGACTAGGCAGGTTGGAAAAGCCACGGATTTGCTACCAAATTTTTTGCTACTAATGTTAACTCAATTATGAGACCAACCCCAGATCTGTTGTAATAGTGTGATCTATTACACATGCAAATTAAGTATCATTTAAAATTAACATTAACATTTTTTGATACTTTCCCAGTTGTTTCCTTGTAGCAATTTCACCTACTAGCTCAATCTCACCCTATCACACACCGTTTCAGTGAGTTTCTGCCCTTTTACTTGAGTTTAGGAAACATGGCCATTAAGAACTTACAGTCATGCGCTGTGTTATTGTTATTGAGTGTAGTTATTGAGTGTTGTTATAGTTGAGTGTAGCTATTGAGTGTTGTTATAATTATTAAGTGTAGTTATTGAGTGTTGTTATAGTTGAGTGTAGCTATTGAGTGTTGTTATAATTATTAAGTGTAGTTATTGTTATTGAGTGTGGTTATTGACTTGTTATAGTTATTGAGTGCTGTTATTGTTCTTAAATGTAGTTATTGTCATTCAGTGATATTATTATTTCTGAGTGTTGTTATTGTTATTGAGTGTAGTTATTGTTTTTGAGTGTGGTTATTGTTATTGAATGTAGTTATTGTCATTGAGTGATGTTATTATTTCTGAGCATAGTTATTGCTATTGAGTGTAGTTATTGTTATTGAGCATAGTTATTGTCATTGAGTGATGTTATTATTTCTGAGTATAGTTATTGTTATTGAGTGTAGTTATTGTTATTGAGCATAGTTATTGTCATTGAGTGATGTTATTATTTCTGAGTATAGTTATTGTTATTGAATGTAGTTATTGTCATTGAGTGATGTTATTATTTCTGAGTATAGTTATTGTTATTGAGTGTAGTTATTGTCATTGAGTGATATTATTTCTGAGTGTTGTTATTGTTATTGAGTGTAGTTATTGTCATTGAGTGATATTATTTCTGAGTGTTGTTATTGTTATTGAGTGCAGTTATTGTTATTGAGTGTTGTTAGTTATTGAATGTTGTTATTGTCACTGAGTGTAGATATTATTACTGAGTCTGTTCCATGGTGTAACGCTGGCATCAACATCCAGGATATGACCATTCCGTCCAGGCTAATTACACAGATGCTTCATCCTGAACCAGCTGACCAGTCAAATCCCACGAATAACACTGCAGATCCTCCTGTGGTCAAACTAATCCAGCTCTAATTGAGTCTCAGTCTGTGGTTCTTTATGGTGAAACAGCAGATTTTTTGGAAGGCAGCCTGATGTAGAGTTTGTGAAAGTTAGAGCAGCGGCCCAGCGGGGGAGAGAGGGGTGAGGGCAGAAGGGGGGTGGAAGGGGGGATGGGGGGAAGGCGGGGTGAATGAGGGAGAGAGCAAAAGTTTGAGAGAGAGAGAGAGAGAGAGAGAGAGAGAGCTGCAACTCACATTTCACTTTACCATTAATCTTCCTGTGTTTCCCTCTGCTTTTACCCTCTCTCTTTCTTTCTCTCCCTTTACCCTTTACTTTCTGTGTCTCCCCAACTTTCACCTTCTCCCTCTTTCTTTGCCTCTCATGCTTCTCTCTCTCTCCATCTTGCTCTCTTTCTTTCCTTTTCTCTTTCTCTCTCTCTCTACCCCCTCCTTGTGAAATGGCAGCTGTGAACATTCTTTGCTAAGTGTTATTCATCCTTTATAAGGCGTGTAATAAGTAAAGGGTTTGATTTTGATGGAGACGTGTGAAAGTGGTCAACATTCGCATGCTTTGAACTGTCACTTTTGGAGCTTTACTGTAACAGCAGGTCCACAGTCGAGGAGGAAAAACTCCTTTTATTTCTTAAGTGAGTCTGAAATTTCAGGTGTTTTTTGGAGCTGTAAAAGCAGTTTGCTTTGATTTACATACAACAAGCATGTAATAAGTTGATATGAATGATTTCTGACACATAGCTCATTGAAACAGTTGGAGGAACTATGTAAAAAGTGCGCATTCTAAACTTTCAGTCCATCCCACATTAATGTTTGTGCATAAAAGAAGAGATATTGTCTTATGATTTTAATTTGATGCAAAGTTTTTATTTTTATTTCATTGTCTTCACATTTTTTGACATCAGAACCTAAAAAGTTACCCAAAGCTGACAGTACAGAATGGAAATGGATTGAAAATGCATTTCATTGTGCAACTATGTAATTAACTCTGTAATTACATTATAATAATATAGCAATAACTATGTAATTACTTGTGTAATTGCGTAATTACGGAATAGTATAGTAAAATGACAATTAGTGAATTCCCCTGAACACTTTGACCTCTAGTGACCAGTTCAGAGTGTTTCAGTTCATGCTCTGTCCATCTCTTTTGTCAGCTCAGGAAAACAGAGTGGACGTTCAATCGTTTCATCCCTCGCTCAAAGCCAAAGACAGAGATAGAAAGAGAGTGAGTGATTTTTTTCCTGGGCTCATCTGGAGTGGAGCTGCACTGCATTTCAATGGGCTCTCTTCTCCGCTCTGCGTTTGATTGACAGCTACACTCTTTTGCTCCTCTGTCTTTTTTCTTTTTTTTTCTTTTTTCCCTCCCGTCGCTGTTGTGTAAGTGCGATTGCGGTGTTGTGCTGCAGCCGTGCAGCAGGATAAGGCATGTTTACACCTCAAAAGCAGCCTTTTCTCTCCGCACGGCTTTTCCATTTCCCTCATCAGGCGATCACAGCCATTTTCACGTCCCGCTTTGGCTGTGTACAGCACCCTTTACCATCCTGCCGCAGTGCATCATGGTATATCAAACGCAGCTTTGAAAGCGCAGCTCCGATGTGGCTCCTTCACGGTGCATCTGGCTGTGAAATAGCTTCACTTTCACACTGGCTTGTTTGCAGTAGTGTGGAATGTGCATAAATCTTGTTCTGCATTCAGATAAAGGCACTTTTCCTTTGTCATCAAGTACAGGTGTGTTCACGCCTCGGTATCACTGAGATACATACAGCACTGTGCAAAAGGCAACCGTCATTTATTTCACTTACACTCAAAACGACCGTTTAGTAAGTTCATTTTTTAGCATCAGAAAAATATACAAAACATTATTATGATTTCAGTTTGATGCAGTTATTGTATTGTTATTGCATTTTCTTCACATTTCTTGACATCAGAACCTAAAAAATAACTCAACTCAGAACATAACTTGAATGTAAATATTATTCCATTGTATAACCA